TTTTATGCATTGCACCTCCTCAATGTGAACGGATCATCCTCTTTCCTAACAATGTTGCCACTAGAATATCATATGATCAGGAATGATTAGTTAAAATATAAAAATAAAACAATCATTTCAGCATTTAGAATGATTCTCAAAGGAATGCTAGGAAACAACCAGAAAGAGAAAGCAGTGAGCAGTGGAAGGAACAGAAGAGGGAGGCGTTGGAGGAACATACCTTCACTGAAACTGGGAATAGTGTGTCAGTGTAACCTCCCACACTGGATTGTCATGAGGATAACATGGAAGGGGAGGGAGGTCTGTGTCTGTGTGTCTCTCTGTGTGTGTGTTGGATAAAAATACATTTCTGGCAGAGATCAAAGTACTGATTTTCACAGGTGTAGCCAGGATTTTTGTTAGGGGCTAGGTTCCAGTGAGATATCGCGAGAGCCTTGCAAAATCTCACAGGCTCTGCATGAGATCTTACTGCTGCCGCTTCTCCTCACGTCCACCCCCTCATCCCTTCTGCCACAGAAGCCAGGAGAAGTGGTGGAAGCATTGGCTTCCAGGTTCCAACAAGATATGGCTAGAACCCAGAAGCCACCACCCCTTCTTCCATCGCAGCTGCACAACCTTGGTCAGTGAGGTTTCAGTGGGGGACAGCAGTACCTTACTGTTTTGCCTCAGGTGGCAAAATGGGATGGGCTGCCCATGGTTTGGTTCATTCATACTTAACAATTTGTCCAAGGAATTTCTGCTGTGAAATCCTCTTCTTATGCCCCTAGTAAAGAGAATAACTAAAATGTGAATAATTTTGTTTCATTTCAGTTTTGTTTCAAACCCCAAATCCCGAAATTATAATCCTGATACAAGTTATCTCAAGTTCTTTTTTAATCACTATCCAGCCTCCAGATCAGGACCGTATTTCTTGTATGGTCAAACTGTTGGCTTACAGACATTTAAACAGATTCACAATAATATTCTATAACACATTATCATCCTGGGTAAAAGTACTGTATCAATCCTATTCAATGCCCTCAACCAGGGGTGGCCAAAGTAGTTCCCTCCAGAGACTACAACTTGCAACAACCCCCACCCATTGGGCATGCTGGCTGGAGCTGATGTGAGGAGTCCCAAACATTTGGAGGACACCACAGTATATCAAATAATTGCTCTGGATCTAGGAACCAATCTAGGCTGCACCAACTTAAAAAAGACTGCTCTAAGGGTCACATTCTTATCAGTATCTCTAAATTTAAACTTTATTGGATTGAACGTTGGCCAACTGGTCACTTGGTCAAGGGCCTCAAAAGTTTCTCTCTCAGGGATCTATACAAGGAGGTGGGACTTCTTCAGCAAAACCATGCTGTGAGTCATCAGCAGGTAATGTTCTTAGCACCATTTGGTGCATGTTTGCTGGTTGTCAAAAGGCGTGAGGGTGGCTGAGTCAAGAGCTCTGCTTTCACTTCATTCTCTACCTTCACCAGAGGGTCCCGGTCTGTGGTCCACCCTTGCAAACTTTGCCATGACACCCTGGAAACCAGTCTGCTTGTTCCTCTGCCATGCCTTTTCTATTTTTTAAAACAGTGGTTAGACTGTATATTTGGCCTATAAAACACAATGTTTAAATGGCAACACCATGAACTGTGAATCCCTCCTGGGAGAGAACTTCACCTCCAGTGTGATTTCCTGGGTCATCGTGACTTTTATTTTGGGCTACAAGAACGCAATGACTGCACTGCTGCTACTGCTCACCCCAGACCCCATTTCATTTCAGTCTCCTTTGGGTCCCTTCTGACTCTACAATTCTGTGATTCTATATGCTGGCAGTGAGGGATGGATCAATGGTGACAGGACTTTCACATGCTGCACATCACAGATAGATGCATTCAGCATGGGGGCTTAAACTTTAGGGGTGCGTTGCACACTTCAAAACTACTAGCTTATACACACACTAAGTAGAAGAATTGAAGCATTGCCACCCTACCCCACCCCACTCACCACCCCCTCCCTTCTTTCCCCTTTTTCTTCCTAACATTGTATACAATACTAATGTCTCACAACAAATTAAACTGTAAAAAATGTAACTTGGAAAAAATAGACGCATGTATTTTTGTAAATTAAGAAATATTTAATAAAAATATATATTTTTTAAAAACTACTAGCTTATTTTCTGACAGGGACGCGGGTGGCGCTGTGGGTAAAAGCCTCAGCGCCTCTAGGGCTTGCCGATCAAAAGGTCGGTGGTTCAAATCCCCGCAGCGGGGTGCGCTCCCGTTGCTCGGTCCCAGTGCCTGCCAACCTAGCAGTTCGAAAGCACCTCTGGGTGCAAATAGATAAATAGGGACCGCTTACTGGCGGGAAGGTAAACGGCGTTTCCGTGTGCTGCGCTGGCTTGCCAGATGCAGCTTGTCACGCTGGTCACGTGACCCGGAAGTGTCTGCGGACAGCGCTGGCCTGGGGGCCTCTTCAGTGAGATGGGCACACAACCCTAGAGTCTGTCAAGACTGGCCCATACGGGCAGGGGTACCTTTACCTTTTTAGCTTATTTTCTCACATTTTACTTCACTAGCTAATTTTCACTTCACCAGCTAGATCTCTGTTATTAGATTATTGAGTATCATATCCAAAGAAAAAAAGACATTTTCTGGATCCCCGAGTCTAACTTCATTAGTCCAGTATTACTCCCTCCTCCCACCAACCCCCCCCCCCCCGGCCTTGAAAATACAATGATGTGGAAATTTGAGGAGAGGGTTGTTTGTTTAAAAACATAATTTAATTCAGTAATATTAACCAGATGTTGCAGTACTAGAACTCCAATAATCCCTGACCATTGGTCATGCTGGATGGTGATGGTGGGTGATGAAGTTCAACAACATTTGGTGGGCCACAGGTTCCCCATCCACTATAACAGTTGGGAAGACAGTAATCTTCAGGTGCCACATTGCAGACAACAGCAGAAAGACGGTCAATGAAGCTATAGTGGTACCTCTGGTTACGTACTTAATTCGTTCCGGAGGTCCATTCTTAACCTGAAACTGTTCTTAACCTGAAGCACTACTTTAGCTAATGGGGCCTCCTGCTGCTGCCACGCGATTTCTGTTCTCATCCCGAAGCAAAGTTCTTAACCCGAGGTATTATTTCTGGATTAGCAGAGTCTGTAACCTGAAGCATATGTAACCTGAAGTGTTTGTAACCCGAGGTACCACTGTATTCATAATCTGTGCAGCAAATTGATCAGTGAGTGAAACAAATTATTTTTCTTTAAACCAATGAGCAAGATTTTATGCTCCTCCTCCAAGCATTAAGGATCAGGCTATGCAGTGTATTCTGATCCCTTTGCACAGAGCCCCTCCTCCCTTTAATAGGTGTCAGATGAAAAATGACAAAAGGTGAATGGTGAAACCAGATGGGCATAAGTGAAGGGCTCTGAATGGGAGTCAATACTAGTAGATTCCAGGAAAGACCAGACCTTTGGCCACTCAACTAGGGAAGAGACTTGCCAAGAGCTCCCCTTCAGTGCCCTGCCCTGATTTGCTCTTTTGTGGGTCTGGTCAAAACATAGAGAGGTACCGCACAGCACAGCCAAGAGGTGGGTCTCTAAAGTAATTGCTATCTCACCCTAAAAACAAGGGGCTCTCCTATTTCCAATAGCAGCACTGCTTCCATTTGTCTTCATTTCTTTCTTTCTTTTGACTCTGCTGCCTTGTAGCATACATTTTCTTTTCTTCTTGGGGATCTGTGAGTGCCACCAGCTGAGAATGTTTGCAAGGGTATGTGGAGGTGGGATTTGGGGCAGGAGAGAGCTGTTGAAATGAAAGGCATCTCTCAATTTGCTTTACCAGCCCTCAGTAAACAGCCTTTAGAGAGTTTGCAACAAAGGGAGAGGAGAGTGAGGAAGCACAACCTGTATCTCTCACCCAGATCTGTCACACAGAGATTACAAATCTTTCTACTGCACTGAAATGAGCACTTGATCGGGTCAACTCCAAAGGATATTCCTTCCTTTCCTTTAACTTAGCCAAATCAGGATGATGGAAAATGGGTTTCTGTATGAGGATACGAAAGAGAGAATAACAGTAAGAACAACAATGTATAAAATATATCAACTAGGCAGGGTGTAAGAATAATAAAAAAATGCAGACCCTGCTGTCAGGTTCACAATCTAGTTAAAGAGAGAAATTAAGATGCTTATAACTTCACTTTTCCTGAAACCTGCAGGGGAAGATGTTTGAGGTTAAAATTGCAGGAGAAAGTCTGGGTGCATGAAGCTTAAATTTGTCAGCAAGTGCGTGCGGTGATAATGTGGAAAATGTTGACTGCTTACATGGCATGGGCATTAAGGAGGCGCCTTACCTTACAATTTCTATGATTTTTGACCTAGAGTGAATGTGCAAGCATTTTAGTGACCGTTTTCTGATCTTCCCTATTTTTTAAAAAAGGAAATTGGTCAAATTACATGCTCATTCACCACAGCCCTATAATGTGCAGTGCATTTTAAAGTGATGAAAAAGGGACTTCACATATATGATCTCAATAATTTTTAAAGCAGTAACATTCAATTTAATATTAGCTACAATTTGTTGATAATCTTGTCCATATACTGACTGTGGAGTCAAACTAATAGGTATTACAATATATATGTTAATGAAAAAAAATGCATTCATCAACATTTACAGTAAGTGCTTATATATTTGACAGAAGCTGTACAAGTGTAGAATTCAGCTATCAACATAAATGGAAAGGAGAGGCCACAAACAGGTGACATGCTTTGCACGAACAAGGTTGCAGGCTCAATCCTTGGGATGTCCAGTTGAAAAGCATCTAAGCTGCACTTAGAAAGACACTGACGATAGCCAATACTGGGCTCTATCACTCAATGAATTTTACAAGTATTTATTTATTTAGGGGGGAAATGTTCTGTACCTTTAGTAACGAGAGAAATCTCAGCAGTTGCCTTTGTGGAAAGATGTGAAAGAACAACAACTACAGGCAAACAAGGGTATTTTCTTATATTTATTAGAAAGAGACATATCCAATGTAGCAGTCTCTCTCTTTGCATTACTTTACAACATTTTTAAAATTCAGAATACTGTACAGCTGACACACTAAAAAGGGATGGAGAAAGCGAGAGGGAAACATAATACAAATTGATATTTAATCGAACAAGATCATATGAAACAACAAGCAAAGTGAAATGTATCAATATGTTTAATAATCATACAAACAATATAAATAAAGTTTCATGGAGTCATTGTAAAACAAATTTGCTGAATGAGGTAATAATAAAAAAATCTTTAAAAACCCAACTTTTTAAAATTTCCACACTGCTGTGTCATCATTTATACATTATTTACAGAAAGAAAGAAACTAAAACCAGCCATTGGCTAAGTATTGGCTGCCTCAAGTCGTGAATTCACCCACTCCCCTTCCTCCCATGCCAGTAGGAATTACATAACTGATGCTACAAAAGGAAATGTAGGTAGTTTGGGAAAATGGGATCAAATAACATTTGATGCACTATGAGAGCTAAATCACCACCACAAATTTTGGAACAATGTATCTTCTATAGAAAAAATCCTGCAACCATGCTCCCCACCCCCATTGTTCAGCCTGGACACTGAGGTCCAAGAGCTATATTGTGGGTCTGATGCTAGAGCAAAGTCTTGAATCTCAAAAGCATGTAAACATGTGCTTTAAGTTCCAGAGAAGCCAATAAGCATTATGTCAATGTCAGGAAAGCATGTTCACACCTTTTGTGAATTTGAAGAAAACATAACAAAAGACGAAGCTCTGGCAAGAAATCTGAATGCTTTATAAAATCACCCGTTCATTCAATATTTCTTATTCTACCTCTCTTACAATAATAAAACAGCTTAGAAACAACAAAGGTGAAAAATCAGCTACATCGTATCAGTGAAGGATATATATATTTTTAAGGAGACGAGGAACATCCCAAAAACAGTAGCCCAATAATCCCCAGAGGGCAGGACAGAGGCTGGAGATTTGGAACAGGAGACGGCAAACCCCCTGGCTCCCCTTCAGCACCGTAAACCTGGATTAGAGCAGATAAGGATGGTTCAGGCAGTTACCAACAAGGTGCACAAACCAGGACATGTATTTCTGAAAAGGGGCTTGGCAACCCTCCCCCCTCCCTATAACTCTTAAGACACAGCACATATTCGGAGCCCCCTGCAGCAGCATTACAGTAAAAACAAAACCCATTAGGAGACATTCTTTAAGTCACATCTAGCCCAGCCTGTACAATCCTGCTCCTATGCAGGACTGGCGTGTATTAACCACTCGTATATATAGTACTATCTACATCTCTTTCTTTATCCACGCAGCACCCATATTTCTGTGGAACTATTTACATTAGACAATTTATACTTGTGAAGACGGAGTGATACTCCGCAAGTCAGGTTGCTTTTCCTGCAACAGGAATCCAGTCATTGCTCTCCCCCCCGGTAAAATGTTGTAGACATTGCTTTCACAGCTGCTTCCAGAAGCACAAAGCCCCTCCTCTTCCCCGATGGGAGGTGTTGTGAGCGGGAACCGTTCCCGTGTCAGCAGGGGAGCATGTTTGGCCCCCTGCATCATCTCCCCGGCTGCCACCCCGCCCTGCAGCAGGCCAGCCAATAGGGTTGGCCTGGGGGCGGGGTTTACCTGCATTCAAGCGGCCGCGGCAGCCTCCCAGCCTCATTCTGCTTGCTGGAAGACGTCGGATCACCTGCCCGCCCTTTAGGCTAGGTTTGTGCTCTTGACCTTGCTATGGACCTTGGTTGGTCGCCCTGGTTGCCCAGGGGGCCTGGTAGGAGTTTTTGTCCATTTGGCTAGATTGGCACCAGCCTCTTGGTTTTCCACCTCCCTCGTAGCAATTCGTCACAACTTTTCCGGTTTTGGTGGTTAGGCATTGGAATATGTGTTGGGGGGCAGGGTGTGGCCCTGCCCCATTTTGGGTATTCCATTATAGGAATCCGGTGGTCGTGGATCCTGTCCGATGCCCTGCTGGTGGCTAGGGCCATGGCACGAGCCCCGGTGACATCAGGGGAAGCTTCCAGTTGTATTTGCAGCAACAAGCTCCTCCCACTGGTTGTTAACCTTCAAATGACCCCCGCTGCGTGGGTGGGGTTGGATATAGGTTGTTTGATCCAATGCCTAAGCCAATACCGTTCATATGCTGTAACCAATAAAAGTTGTGGCCTTTTTCAGCCCATTAACCTAAAATACTTGTGTCTGTGTCCATTATTTCTCCACTAAGCGGGTTAGAGTCCTCAACTCACAAAGGTCTTTCACTGTATGCTTCCTGAAAATGTTGTGGAGGGTGCCTGGGAGCCAGAAGCAAAGTATGCAAGAATCAGGGTCCGAACATAGCTTCTTGTCCTCCAGAATGGATCTCGTGGAATGGCTGACTTCTGGGAAGGATATTAGATAACAATTACAGGTTCAATGTTTTGGTAGCACTGAATTGTTTTTAGCTTTTGTCTCCTTTGTGGGTTCTGTGGTTTTGAATTGCGAGGCACGAGTAGGAAAAAGGGTATCTTGTAGAGAAGGAATGAATGTTGAAACTGCCTGAGAGAGATACCAGTGAAAAATCCTTTACATGCAACAAGAAAATATACATTTATCTGCATTTAACACTCCTGTGATATTTTATTTCTTTGTTACTGTATTTTCCATTGAAGGGGAAAATAACTGGAGAAAATAAAGCACAGAACTGAATTTGTGCTGAGAAGACCAGAAGAAATACTTTTGTAACGTTGTCTGGTAACTTGAGCCGAGAGAAGCCTCACAGGCACAAACTACAGTCTTTGTGCAACAATGCTTGAGTTGGCCGCCTTATTCCATTGGTTTTCTGTTTTCATGTATTCAGCTCTGTGAGTATTTAAAAGAAATAAAAGAGCCATGGGAATTTCGCAGCATGAGTCCACATTTGTGGCTTTGAAGATGTTCAGGCAGATACTAGTTTTAATGTGGCTTCCATAACACTACTTATTTGCCACTAGCAATCGGCTGATGCCTTCCCTTCATCACTGCCATGTTCATCAGAACCTGGGGTTGCAGACTCTCTGGTCTTTTAGGGGAGGCGCTGTGACACCCTCCTTGGTTGGGCAAGGGACAATTTCCTAAGCTTTCTTCCTGACAGTTTACTAAAATAAGGCTTGACAAAATACAATTTAGTGGTACAAAAACTAAGTACTTTCTGTTGACTTCATTTGGGGTACGCTTGGGCATTACCACAATGAAGGGGCTGGTGTGTCATGTGATATTACAGCTCATATCCAATTGTCCTGAATGTCAGTAGTTCTCATGAACAATTGGATGCCCCGTCCCCGTGGTAGTTTTTTTAACACATTTTGAAAATCAGATCCCAGACAATATATTTTTAAATGCTAACCACTTGAACAGCAATGCACTTTCATTTATCCCCCCCATTAAACTATTTTTAAAGACCTGTTTAAGTGAAAGATCAGCATAGCAGCTCACTGCATTCCACCATGCATATGTATTTTCATTGTGAAATTATACTTGTTTGTTTGTTTTAAGGGAGAATATTTGAAGTGATACCTTTAAGAAGAAGAAGTATCATAGAAAATGTGACAGATTCTACAAGCCCAGAGTGTTAACCTTTCATGTAGCTAAAGCATAGGCATAATTGTGTTTGGACTAACACAACTTTCCTTGACCTACTGGCAGTGTCAGCTCTTTAAGAGATTGTGTGGCAATTTGAAGTTCTCTGAATGCATATCTCCTAAGCATCTCTGTTAGGAACCCTCAAGTCTCCATCCCCATCTTAGCCTCCTTTTGGAAAGAAAGGGAAGCTTATATTTATATTTTTGCATCAGTTTCATGGTCTAGGGAACCTTTGATCTAATATGTTTATTAGCATATGTATTTTAATGCTATCCATAACCACTTCTTCTTTTCCCTTCCCCTAGGAGTATACACATTAAGATGTTAACACTCCGTATATTTACATGTGCAGTTTGTTCATAATAGTATAAAAACTGTAAGGCGTAAAAAGGATTTTTTGAGCTTTGGTGTAAGCCAAACAGCGGTAGGTGATCTCAGGCCAATGTGAACTCCAGTGATTTCTCTTTTGCTAGCATTTGCACAGGACGGCAAGTATGTTTGCTATAGAGAATAGTCACATTTTGAACCAATGCCGGGATCCTCTGCTCGCAGGGGATAAGCAGAACAAGATGCACTGAACTCACAGATATACAAATACTATATATATTAACCCACATATTTTCAAATTCAGAAGGAACATGCAGTAATATACAAGAGGGGGAAGATGAGAAGAAATTGCAACTTTCCTTAACTGACAGTTAAGCACATCAGTACAATTCACCTCTACCAAACTGAACATTTGGATTTCATTCCCTTTTCTGAAGAGCTTGACGGCATAAATCAGAAGCAAGCACAGAGTTTGTCAGGTCTGAAGCTCCTATGATGGTATGTGTCAAATCAGTTGTAGCTAATCTGTCCAGGGAGAATACTGGCTTCATTACACTTGTATAGTTGAGTTCTTCCAGCATTACTGCTGTTTAATAGAACATGATTAGTCATCACGGAGAAAAAAGCATATTAGCTGAGGAGGTAGTTACATGGCACGCTTCGGTGATTGCTTGGATGTGATTGCAATATTCTTAGAAGCATCATATTATCTCAGACATGTTCTTTCAAGCCCTTGGAGCCCTCCTTTCTAAATTCACTGTCATAATTTAGTATCTGTTTAATTTTTCAGTCCAAAGAGAGGAAATCAGTTGCTGAGTATTATTTGACTGCAGCCTCCTTGGTGTAAAAACAAAATGGAAAAAATAAATAAGAATAGCTATGAAATGCAAAAAGGATTAATGAATACCGCTAAGGAAAAAATATTTCAAGCTCATTTATGAGAATAACTACATAAAAGGCTAATTTTTTCCATTGTGAGAAATACATTGTGTCACTTTCACCAATATAAATGTGTTGAGTTTCACCCTAGATTATTTAGATTGTATATTGTGTCTTTGGGGGGGGTTGGGTTACTGCTTTCGGTTTGATTTTGTATGTTGTGCTCTTGTTTGTGAACTGCCCTGAGACCTCCGGGTATAGGGCAGTGTATAAACTGAAATCATCATCATCATCATACAAGTAATGGCATTGCTGGATAATTAAAATTCTGTTTAACTTGTCTCTTCTGCTTCTTCATCTCTTTAACTAAAGGCATAGATTTCCACTGAAGATTGCATCACGGAAGAATAAACTTACCATAAAATGGGGGAAGGACTTTAAAAGACTGGATTCCTTATATTATCTAAAATTAATATTCCCTTAAATCCCTTAAAACCGATACTGAACAGCATGATGTAGCAATGAGGTCTGTGGCCCACACTGACCTCCATTTGGAGGGCATGTTTGCTTTAACCTATTAAAAGTGATTAGGAAAATTAAATGTGGACATAATAAATGTCAAGCACAGATTTTGCTCGTGGGATTTATAACTACTGTTTTGTAAATCCATGTTTATTCATTTTAGCTGTAACTCTTTGAGAGTGCTCATGTAAAGGACCAAAAATGTGATCATTTGCTTTTGTTTTGCTTTTTGTGAAGAAAACAATTACAATTACATTTGCCAAATTTCATCATCAAACCTCTGCCATTTTTCTTTCTTTCACCAGAAGGGGTGTGGGAATGAGGTCACGTGCCCTTTTGCTTCAGTAGTCCAAGATTGTTTTGGTTGATACTACTTTATGATGAATTGTACAGTGATTATAAGGTTTGTACTATAAATATATTTTGGCACAAACAATTGTGTGCAGTAATTAATTTTTAAACTACAACTCTTCTTCTTTTGAATAGTGCTTAACAAATGGTTAATCTTTATAATGATTTGTACTCCCAAGCTCCCAAGCACCCTCCACAACATATTCAGGAAGCATACAGTGAAATACGTTTGTGCTTCTGGAAGACAATGGTCTGCCTTTCCAAACCGTATTTCCCAACACCTTTTCTGTTAACATGTGCCAGCATCTGAGACAGATACGCTTTTCATCAAAGGAAAAAATATTTCTTTGTCTGGAGTATTTTCAAGATCTGTTACTACAATCTGTGATCCCTTAGATCCTAAATATCTGCACATTATTTCACATCAATTATAGTTTATAAATTAACAGAAGTATTTTTGCCTTACAAAAAAAAAATCAATGCATACTTATGAACATTTAAAAATTCGAATAGAATCTTTTACATACACATAACCAAAAGACACAATACACAATCTAAATAACTGATAACTGATTTGACGCATACCATCATAGGAGCTTCAGACCTGACAAACTTTGTGCTTGCTTCTGATTTATGCTGTCAAGCTCTTCAGAAAAGGGAATGAAATCCAAAAGTTCAGTTTGGTAGAGGTGAATTGTATGAATGTTAAACATGTTCACATTAATGAAGCTCCCTCATCTGCTAATTCCTCTGGGTTCTACCTACAGCCACCCGTCCTTTCTGGGGGGAAGGATCATAGTATTTCACTGCTCCACCTGGACTACTGTGATGTTAACATATGAGAGTGCTGGAGGTGAAATAGTTAAACAGGTTACCCAATCAGAACCCAGGGGGGTGGAGGCAGAGGGAGTATAAAACCAGCTCTGGGAGGAGTGAAGAGGAGAGTTCGTTGGGAGGTTGGTTGGAGTGGGAGTGAACTGGGATAGAGTCTGGGGGTAGGTGGAGTTAGTGTAGTGAAATAAGCTGAGTCAGGAACAGTTAGGAGCTAGGAAGACAAGTAAATATCTGAGAGGTGGTTTAGTGAGTGAGAGCAGGTAGCGGATGTTATAGGTTTGGATAGGCACCCCATGATTGTAATTGACTGAGACCGTTTATGAAACCACACGCTTGTTAAACTGCAATAAATAAACAGAAGTTTATGTTCCAATTTAACCCTGACTGGACTCAGTATTGTACCAGGTAGGGCCTGGGGGGTGGCAGTGAGAAATAAAGTGGTGGCACAAGGATCAATAGATGGTGAAACGTCCGGGGACCCTGTGTGATTGCCACAACTACTTCTCCATGGAAGACATAGTCTCAACAGGGGTATCTCCACACCACTTTCAGAGTAGAAGTCTTCCAGAAATCAATGCTGGTGGCATTAAGCAATGTCTACAACATTTCACCTGTTGTTTCCCTCCAGTAGCTCTCATGCAGTACTTGCCTTGAGAGCCTTGCCTCAAGACACCCAGTCAATGGTCCCATGTCATGTGCTATCATTAGTGAATCCATGACCTCTCTTTGTCTTCCCCTCCCATCTACAGTTTCATCCTTTGAGTTCTTTTTATTAAAACAAATGGTTTCTGCAGTCCTCTTTTCTCCTTCTTGTCTTTTTACAGTAGCCAGGCAATTCCCGCCCTCTCTGGAGAAACTGAGAACTGAGGAGAAAAGAAGGGCTATTTTACAGACTCATGGGCTTCAGCTGTGAAAGCAATGTCTACATGTCTACAACATTTCACCGGGGAGGGGGAGGGGGGAGCAGTGACTGGATTTAAGCAATGCTGTTGCAGGAAAAACAACCTGACTTGCGGAGCATCACTCCGTTAACGAATTAAACACTTCATTTCATTGTGTGCACCTGCAGGTATCGTGTGTCACTTCTTGCACACGCACACCCCTTGTGGTCTTTCACAAATGCAAAGGATAAACATTGGGCATTCATCACACTGGAGAAAATGGCTCAGAAAAGTCAGAACAAAGTTTGAATATAATTGGTGGCACCTTTAAGGCACCACAAGACTTTGTTGTTTTTGCACAATTCATCAAATATGGCTTTATATACTGCAAATACCTCGATGTAATTTTACAGCATAAATCAGGTTTCCATAGATAGATGTTCATGTACACAATAATGTACATCTATGTGCCTATTTTATATGCACAAATCTGAAAGTACATGAAGTGGGTCTTCACAAGTATAAATTGTCTAATGTAAATAGTTCCACAGAAAAATGGGTGCTATGTGGATAACGAAAGAGATGTAGATAGTACTATATATACGAGTGTCTGGTTAATACAAGCCAGTCCTGACAGGAGCAGGATTGTACAGGGTGAGCTAGATGTGACATAAAGAATGTCTCCTAATGGGTTTTGTTTTTACTGTACTGCTGCTGCAGGGGGCTCAGAATATGATAGAGCTACTGTGGGGAGGGCAGTACTTAACTATTTTCCCACAGGCCATTTTCCCAATCATAATATCTCTCCCCATCTGCTTTTCTCTCTGAGGGGGAAAAAGATACGTGAGCAAAGTATCTAAGCAGCTAAAAGTATTTAGCAGGCAAATGATCAGTGGGGAAAGAGTTAAAACACCCTTTTCCTGTCGCTTCTCTAAATCTGGGGACACACCCCATACCATAGTTACATTAAAGTGAAAATAGAAAGCATTGGGAGACACACCACATCTTAACCACTGTATCTGGCTTGGCCTAAATAAAACAAGATGCTTTGAGCATCATGGAGAATCCTTGAAAAGGGTGAGTGCGTGGTTTTCCTCTTTAAAAACAACTAAATATATCATTATAATCCTGTACTCATAACAAACATGTCACACTCCACTTATGCCACATGCAAATATGGAATAGTCAGATCTGTTGTCCCTGTGATTTAATATATTTTGATTCAATGCCTGGCACTTTTATCTAAGAAAGTGGCAGGGAAGGAAATGCAAGAGGAACAGTGAGCTTATGAGGCAGGAGTTGTTCTTTCAGTATCAAGTGAAGTTCTGATTTTAGCATTGTGACTTTCAGCCAGATAGCGGCATTTGACTCTAGGAATGACAAGCTGCTCTTCTGCAGTCAAGTGTTTTGAATAATTAAATTTCAGGTTTTACTTCCACTTGTATAGCATTTGTATATAAGTGTTGCTGAGGAGCACACTGAGCAGGGAGTTTAAAAATTGAAAGTGATGGTTGAGGCAATTGTTCTCTTAAATTTCCCCCTACTCTTCTTTCATGTATTCTAGTTTCTTCAGGTGTGAAAGTAAGTTTTGTTTGGGTGTGGTTGATAGAATATTAGGGTGAAGTAGTTATTTAGAGCACTCAATTCATATCTGAAGTTTTTGTGTTGGTAGTTGAATTACATGCTTTCCTTTTTCTCGTCTGGTTAACCTTGGGAGAAAGAAAAGGATGCCCACCATCATCTGAAAATACTGGTTCTTGTTTTCTGACATTACTAATATGTTATGAGTACAAGATTATTACGATATATTTAGTTATTAGGAGATGGCAACCCCCTGGCTCCCCTTCAGCACCAGTTACTGACAAGGGGCACAAACCAGGACATACCGTATGTTCCGGCGTATTAGGCGACTGGGCGTATAAGACGACCCCCCAAATTTTGCAGTTAAATTATAGAGTTTGGCTGCCCGCCAAGCGCCACCAGGGGCAGAGCGCGCACCCCTGCTGTCGCAGCAGCAGCAGCCCAAGGTGAGGCTTCTGGCGGGTGGAACAAAACCGAAACCCACCACTTGGAGGGAGGGAGGCCTGGCCCAGCCCTCTCCCTCCCTCCGGCAAAAGGCCATGAGCGGCCGCCTCAGCCTCCACTGCCCTCACCTGTGGGGATGCCCAGCTCCTTGTAGCCCCGGCCGAAGCCGCGCACCACCTCGCTACGGCAGGCTCTTCATGGCGCCCGCGAGCCAAGCGAAGCCCCACGTGGCCACGGTGGAGGCCGGATCCAGCTCCCACAACGGCAGCAGCAGCAGCAGGTGGGCGAGCGCCAAGCTCGGAAGGACTTTCCGCGGTGAGGTGGCCAACGAACATGTGCTGTGCCAGTACGGAGGAGGCGGGGCCTCACGCTGCGTCACAGGAGGCTGCGTCCCCTTAGTGTTCTTCCGTGATAAATTAGGAGTAGGCATAATAGGAACAACAGCAGTGCAAGGATGCCCACCATCATCTGAAAATACTGGCTCTTGTTTTCTGACACTACTAATATGTTGTGAGTACAAGATTACTACGATATTATTTAGTTATTAGGAGACCCACAGCAACCCCCTGGCTCCCCTTCAGCACCATAAACCTGGATTAGAGCAGATGAGGATGGTTCAGGCAGTTACTGACAAGGGGCACAAACCAGGACATACCGTATGTTCCGGCGCATTAGGCGACCGGGCGTATAAGACGACCCCCCAACTTTTGCAGTTAAATTATAAGAGTTTGGTCGCCTACCAAGTGCCGCCAGGGGCAGAGTGTGCACCCCTCCGCTGCCTCTGCCATTGCAGCAGCAACAGCCCGAGGCAAAGCATTTGGTGGGCGGAACGAAACCGAAACCCACCACCTGGAGGGAGGGAGGCCCGGCCCGGCCCAGCTCCCTCCCTCCCTCCGGGAAAAGGCCATGAGCGGCCGCCTCGGCCTCCACCACCCTCACCTGTGGGGATGCCCAGCTCTTTGGAGCCCCGGTCGAAGCCGCGCACCACCTCGCCACGGCAGGCTCTTCATGGTGCCTGCAAGCTGAGTGAAGCCACGGCGGAGGCCGGCTCCGGCTCCCACGACCGCAGCAGCAGGCGGGCGGGCGAGCGCCGCGCTCGGAAGGACTTTCCGTGGTGAGGCGGCCAACGAACACACACTGCCAGTACGGAAGAGACGGGGCCTCGCGCTGCGTCCCCTTAGTGTTCTTCCGTGATAAATTGGGATAAAGTGGGGTCACGGAAGAACACTAAGGGGACGCAGCCTCTGAAGCGGCCGCTCATGGCCTTTTCCCGGAGGGAGGGAGCCGGGCCAGGCCTCCCTCCCTCCAGGTGGCGGGTTTCGGTTTGTTCCGCCCACCAAATGCCTCGCCTCGGGCTGCTGCTGCTGCAATGGCAGAGGCAGCGCAGGGGTGCACGCTCTGCCCCTGGCGGTACTTGGCAGGAGACCAAACTCTATAATTTAACAGCAAAAGTTGGGGGGTCGTCTTATACGCCCAGTCGCCTAATGTGCCGGAACATACGGTATGTCCTGGTTTGTGCCTCTTGTCGGTAACTGCCTGAACCATCCTCATCTGCTCTAATCGGTTTCGCACTGCTGTTGTTCCTATTATGGCAATCCCCATTTATAACGGGTGAACACTTAGGACAAAACGCTCATCTGGGCAGCCGTACTGCAGGAGAATCTCAATGCACTCTTGGCTGGTGGCTTGCCTGGCATAGGCCAAAGCACCGTTTCCATGGGCATCGCGGGCCATAACGTCAGCACCGTACTGTGGAAAGAACATGCAGCATTTAGGAGCAGTAGCCGGCAGAAACGCCTTAAATAAATAAATCTCATTACCTAGTTTTAAATCTGAACAGCTTTCTGTTGTGCATCCAGCTACCATAGCCGAGGTCAGCAGCACTCCTTCCTCACTCATGGAGAAGTGAGCTTCATGCATGCTGCCCCTAGATGCGCTCGTCAACTTTCAAGGAAGAGCATTTTTAAATTAAGCAAGCTCTTTTAAACTATATACACATTTTAAGGGATACACACTGTACACTGATTCTGAGCTGCCAGCATTCATAAGACTTTTGCACCAGGTTGGAATATATACATGCTAGGGGAATGTTAGGGAATGTACATCTTGTAAATTATGCATAATAACTGCAGAATGTACAAAATTAATATATATACAATCCCCAAGGCTTGTAGATGGATTCAGAAACGTGCAGTTTCCTCTTCTTCTAAAATTATTTGATTCTTGCAATAATACAACACAACAGTGATATAAACAAAGTAAAAAATAAAATAAACCAACGTTGGCATTTTTCCATTACCTTCTATAAACATATATCAAAATATTGTTTTTCATTTTCATTTTCACCCTCTTAATTCCCTGTGACTTCCCTCCACCTGTGTTTGGCATCATTAAATTTAATACAGTATCTTAAAATTGTGTTTGAGCAATATATTAATACTATTAACCATAAGATCTTATACTTTGTTCCTCTTAACTTCGTGGGTTTCAGTTTAAACATATCAACAAATTACTTTTGGAACATTGTTTTGCCATGTATTCCTCTACACATTCCCATTCTTTCTTTAAATTTTGATTAGATTGTAATCTGATTGCTGCCGTCATTTCTAATTGAATTCTAATTGAAATTTTGATTCTTCTTTTTGGAATCCATTTTTGTCTGCTTTAAATATATCATTTAATTGATAATATTGTAACCAGCTCGTACAATGGTGAGAAATTTCTTCATAAGATTTCGATTCTAACTGTCCTTGTTCTTCTTTTAATAATTGTTTATATGTTGCCCAATTTGTATCCATATTTTTCTTTTTTATCGAAATTGCCTCTAATGGTGCGGCCCACCATGGAATCTTTGGCTCGAATAAATTTTGATACTTCCTCCAAATTTTAAATAAAAAATTTCTGATTATATAATTTGAAAATCATTGATGTACATTTGTCTTATTATAAACTAAACAGGTGTGCCATCTGTACCTGTTGTTGAATCCCTCTAAGTCCAATATGTGCGCATTTTCCTCTGTTTCATCCATTTAATATTGTTTTCTATTTCATAATTTAGTAGACAATTGATTTTGCAAAAGTTTAATTTTTTGGCTTGCACTCACATTCTTTGGATGTTTGGCTAATATTTTTTCATTCTCTTCTATTTCATTTCTAATTTGACCCATTTCCCCTTCTCTGCTTCTTCTTTGTATCATATTTTGTTGGATATAAAGTTCTCTTATATAGGCCTTGCTTGAGTCCCATATCACCCTGATGTCTGTGTCATGTGCCATGTTTATTCGGATAAATTCCTTAAGAAGTTGCGCTTTGTTCAAAAAGTTTTCATCATTTAGAATTTTTTCATTCATTCTCCATCTTCTTTTTATTTGTCTGTTATTTTTTAATTCTAACATAATTGAATTGTGGTCTGTTATTGATTTGCGTTGTATTTCTATTTTTTTTAATCTTCAAAATTAAATTAATTGATGTCCATATTCCATCTATTCTTCCTGCTGATTGTCTAGCCTCTAAATAATGTGTGTATTGTTTTTCCTTTGGATGTCTGGGTCTCCACGCATCTTTTAAATTTAGGTTGTCCACCATTTGAAAAAATGTGTGTGGGAGTCTTCCCTCTTTCTCTCTGTTCGATCTAATTCCACTGAGGTAACACCTCTCCTAGTAGGGTAATTTCTTCATTTATATATTCTAATAATTTTTCTTCCACTGATTTAAAGTACAATGGTACCTCGGGTTAAGGACTTAATTTGTTCAGGATGTCCGTTCTTAACCTGAAGCACCACTTTAGCTAATGGGGCCTCCTGCTGCCGCTGCTGCCCGATTTCTGTTCTCATCCTGAAGCAAAGTTATTAACCTGAGGTACTATTTCTGGGTTAGCGGAGTCTGTAACCTGAAGCATATATAACCTGAAGCGTATGTAACCCGAGTGTTTTATTCCCGTTTGGGGCATAAATTCCTATCACAAATATTTTTTCTTTTCCATTCCTTAATTGTATTCTCAATAATCTACCTTCTTCATCCTTAAAGATTTGTTTTGCCTCTATTTTAGGGTTTGTATACATTACAATTCCCCCTTTTTTTTTAATGTCTGAGAAGGTGAATTCTGTTCCAAGTTTTTAATTGATCAATACTCTTCTCTGTTTTCTGGCCACATGAGTCTCCTGCAAGCAGATTACATGCAGAGTTTCCTCTTCATGGGTAGATTATGTGCACATTCTCCATGTGGCCTGGTGAATGTGCAGAATGGCCAGTTGTTTTGCCCATTAACTGTTCCACTTCTATTTCCCCTAATGCATATATACCACCACAACACTCCAAACACTTGTATCAAATCAAACACGTAAGCTGTAATATATGGCCTGGATAAACCAAAGTGACAATTCAAACACACCCATTAATGCAGGGCTACTCTCTCAAATTAATGTAGCACATACTCACCCAAATTAACAGTTGCACCAACACTACATTTCCTTTCCGGGATGCTATATGTAAGGCCGAACGCCCATCTCCATCTCCACAGGTTTCATTGACTTCTTCTCGTGTCCCATGAGCAAGAAGCAGGATGACTGTTCGCAAATCTTCCTCCGCAGTTGCTCTTAGCAGGTACTGGCCTAAGGAAAACTCTGAGCACTGCAGTGAAGCAAGGAAGAGCTTCTGCTCATATTTTGCTCGGATCCAGTGCTCTTTTTCTTCCCTAGGGAAGCAAACAAACATATCATTCAATATTAGATCATGCATCTCCTACAGATCCATCCTTGTGTTAAGTTTGTTCTAACACATGCCTAGTTTTGCAGATAATCTGGACAATCTAATAGTTGGGTTGAAATGAGGGCATTTTTAATGTTAGCGGGTTTTTTTATTTAAAAAAAACCCCCAGACGCTTGAAATTCTGGTTTTTATTTTCTTTTGGATAAAAATAGCAAGAGAACAGTTGTATACTGTGGAAATACGCTATTTATTCCACTTTCTAGGACATCTGGGCCACAAGTAAGAAAGACAGAATGGTAAGAATGTAGATTTATGGTTCAAATACACCACAACGCTAATATATGCCATGTAATTCACCAGAGGTCAGGAGAAAATGCCATCTCTACTTATAAGAAAGAACAGTAAATACAGGTGCATCCTCTGAATTGCACAAATGCTCCCACAAGCTAGTCTCCTAGATCAGCCCTCCCCAACCAGGTGCCCTCCAAATGTTGGAATCCAGCTCCCATCATGCACAACTAGTATGGCCATTGGTCCGCGATAATGGGAGTAGTACAAAACATATGGGCAACTCCAGGTTGGAGGAGGCTGTCCTAGGTTATACAAACACAATGTGGCAAGTTTAATGCATTTGACTGGGGGCCCCTTCATACCCTATACAGGGGTGCAGCTTGGTGTGGGGAAAGAAAGTGGATTTCTTTTGCTTGGCATACACTTGCTGGGAAGCAGCACGTTTGCAGTTGCCAGTGATGGCACGTTGGCAGAACAGACAAGAGGATCTTTATGTATGATAGTATGCACTGTGTACATGGTCACACACCAGTGTACATCCTTGGAGATAAAACACTGATTGAATGGGAGAAAGAAATGGGCACTGTTGGTCTCTCAGACTCCTACAACTTATCACATATATGGATTCCAATATTCAGGGGAGAGTGCCATTGCTTCTGTAGCTGAAATGACACCAGGAGTGTACAAGAGGAAAATGCCATCGAACTTGGGGT